GAGCTGAAAATAATATGTGATCAATATGTCTAGATTTTCTCAGGGGGGCCGGGCCTAGTTGGGCTCCCTCTTGGCTACGCTTCTGGCTTAACCGATAATTTCATTAGGCCTACATCCAGTAACAACGTTTTGTTACAATTATTATTAATACTGATTAACTTTAATTATTTAGAATTATATCATGTACTCTGAAAACAGCCTTATATGTGAACATGTATAAGGAATAACTAAGTGAAGTGCATGAAAAATACAAGTTTTAATTTTCATTAAATAACATCGTGTAGTCTACAAATTTCATACTCGTTTTCTTTTTTAATCAGAGTTTCAGGTAAAACCTTGGTTTCTACTGCTGTTAATAAGTCAGTTGGTTAAATTTACAGAAAATCAACTTATAATGTGAATATTTTAAACAACAACCTTTCATCACGTTTTATGCAAATACTCAAATATATTTCCAGTTAAGACATTTAAAGGAGTTATTATTCAAATCATTAAGATTTTTACAGTGGTTGCACATGCGAAAAAAGTTTATACTTTTTCATTAAGAATACCTACATATTTACAGAATAATGGCGAGAGAACTTTTGATTAAAACAGAACAGATGGTTGCTTATAAATTCTTTACTAAAAAATAAAAATACAAGGTCGGTGGAAGTATACCTTAGAAAAAGTGTAGATTTTGCTTTATTTTACTGGTGTGGGAATTGTAAAAGGTGAACGATGACAGGTAATGTCGCGTTGAAAGAAATGTTGCAGTTGAAACGTAGATACCAGAAAGCCTAAAACAAAAACATTTCCCAGAAAATATTTGCTTAGTGATACGTGCGACTTAGTTACAGACCATCTTTTCCAATGAATAATAAAAATAAACAACTTGTAAATACATATTGCTAGGTATTTCTCTGTAAACAAATTAACAACGGTACAAATTATGTACAGTGTTTGTCACATAAATTTCATTTGACATGTTTATTCTAATGTACTAAATGCGATGATAATGTTAAATATTCCTGTTTCTACCTTTCTATAAGCTATAATTTCAGCGAATTACTTCGATGGTGCTATCTCAAACAATTCAAAACAGTTATCAATTTTAAAGGATAAATTGAACCTTGGCACCTAGATCTCACAAAAAATATAGTCTAACATCACTGAGATAATGTTCGGAAGTGGTCCAGTGGTAGACGTGTCCAGATTGTAAATTCAAGGAGACATGGTCGCGAATTATCCGAAAAAACGCTCTCCGCATTCTGGGACCATGCGTACGCTATAAGAATTACTGTCAAATCCCCCTACTTGTTAACACAATAATAGTCCGAGAGCGGCGTTGTTAACTACTTAACTTTCGTGTAGTGTATTAGCTCAAAACTAGGAACGACTATGAGCAGATAACCTTGTGCAGCATTGCGTGAAATTTTGAAGCAAACAATGTATGCGTGCTTGTGTTTTTCTGTCAACTGTAATCTACGTATGATTTACAAATAACTACAGTAATATATTCTATTCTTCAGCTGTAAAGAATTAAGAGACACAAATGATAATCCTAGTGTTTTAACTCTCATGCTTTATATATAACATCGGTTAGCTCACTTATCTAATGCAGTATTTTTATTTATCTACCCAGATAAATATATATTTATAAGTCTAATTATTACTGTTTGTACTTCATTCGCCTAAAGTGATTTTAACTGTTCAAAGGATAATTCGTTTAGTCGACATGTCCGTATCTTCTTTTTTAAACTTTTCCATTATATCATCTAATTAGTTTGCATCAAAGGATAACAAATCTAAGTAAAAATACAAACGCCATTATCAATTTCTCTAAGTTTCTAAGTTTAGATCCTAAAGAGAAAATTCACATAATATGAAAATCACACATAAGTGCCTTCGCGCGTTATATATTCATCAATTTTCTCCATGGTCACGTGATTTGTATAGTTTTATATATTCGTAATCAGTCTAGGATGATTATTTATTATATATATTATTCAACCAGTTCCACTGAGTCGCTAACTTTAAGATTTTAATCAATACCAGAGTAAGCCCTACTTATATCAAACCTAAACATCAACCCGACAGTGGGTAGAGCCAACTAAGTATACTGTCCTTACATTCTCACTTATATGAATTAGCATGTTCTGTTTCATCAGTTGGGAACCCTCTCTGTTAACGATATTTTCAGCTTTAAACTCAATAAAATCTCATGATGTTCTGCCTAATTAGGATATTTAAATTAATCCCAGATCCATATGCTAAGCTTGCAATGCAAAACGATCTCTACAAACAAAATAAATATTGTTGCGTCAGCGAGGTCACGTGACTAGTATCACGTACGTCCTTCTCGAACCTTCGTGAATTGTCGGGAGACTACTAGATTGGGGGTAGGCTGGTATATATAAGACGGTCACAACGCGACGGAACAATGTGTGTGTAATTTAACAGTCTACCATCATGGCCCCCAGTGGCTCAGTAGTAAGTCTGAGGGCTCACACCGGCAAAAATCTGGTTTCGATACTCATGGTGGGCACGGCACAGATAGTCCATCGTATAGCTTTGTGCTTAAAACAAACAAACACAAACATCATCATGTGGTTATATCAATAAACTTATAACTTACGCACCTGTCTAACTTCAGCATAATTTTGCCTGGAATGCTAGATAGATTTCCGATGTTGTTTTTAAATTAGTCCTAAATGTATGTTTTTCAATGTGCTGCAAAACATTATCGTCTACAAAGTTTTGCTGCGACGTGTAGTATGCATGCCAACAGCCTTGACAACTGGGCAACATCGATACGATTTGTTGACCAGCTTTTCAAGGCAACATTTAAAATATTTTATACCCCGTGATATGCTCTTGGTCAATAATGGCAAAGAATTCATGCTAAGGTGTAGAATAAAACAAATTCGGAGAATGAAATCTACTCCAGTTGTTTACTCACATAGTTTTAGCTTGTGATTTTAACCCTTGCTCTGTTACTTTCGTCTTTGAACTTTTGCCCACAGATTATCAAGTACACTACTTATCACAATTAAGAAAACCAGATTATTCTATATTTCAGCAACGAGATGGCAAAAACTACTGTAATTAAAAACATTAGTGGGTTCAATGAGTTCAGTGTTTTTGAAAAAAGTGTCAGATGATCGTCATGTGATCTGATGTCCACATTTCAGTAGTATTTAAAAGTGAAGGAAACACATTATGTTTTCATTTAGCAGTTTGAACAACAAAACAGTCTGCGAAGAGATTCATATTGATAGTGAAACATGCCCAAGACCCCAACGAAAACATCTGGACATTTTCATCGTGGGAAGAACAAGAAGTTGGCTTCAAGCTGTTTGAACACAAAGTCATTATAAGTCTCACAAAGTGTGGCTAGCAGAGCGTTGACTCGTTTAAAGACACAATAGAAATGGCTGGAAACCTGGACAAGGTAGACTACTATCGACCACCACGCAAAACGACCACTATTTGAAAACATGGACTTGTTTGTAATCGGCAGGCTTCACCTTTGTAACTGAAGTAGCTGTTTAGACAACTCAAAAACAAGTTTCATAAAAAAGTTGGCCTTTTATGTAAGGTAACCAATGATGCACATACCTTTAACTTATCACCACAAAACAGTCTATCTTCTGTGGTATCAAAAAACAAGTTGGCTGATCAAACAATATATGGGCAAATATTTTGTTCACAGAAGGATCATTTTTTTTAACACTACTGTCAGATATGCATTTGGAGAGTGACCGAAACCAGTTCTGACGTAAATTTTACAGAGGTAAGACACATATATGGCACTAGTTGCCTATTGGTCTAAACAATAATCAGTATTGGTGGCCACACTGTTATATGTTAGGACATGACGTTATGAATGTCTTACTTTATTTAGAGGCAGTCTTATAAGCATTAGTGCTTCCATATGCAGGTTTAGATGTAATTTTAGGTAACAGCATGAAGCCAAAATAGAGGTTTGTAGTTTGACTAAATAATGTCTACAGTATTTCCAGCCTTGTTTGCTTACTTTTTTACTAACTCTATTTACAGGTTTTTAAATTCCCAATTCGTTATTTATTTTGTAAGAGTAATATACTTACCTATAATAACAGAGAAGAAAAGTGGAGAATATAACATCGAACAGAATACGAAATTAATATATATATACACTCTCCCATAGTCATGATGATAATGATGAAATGTAACAATAATATGAAAACAAGAGTAATTTACTTACCAATATCATGGTGATAATAACAGAATATAATAATGATCTGAATACGACAGTAATATATAAATATGTATATATACCTACAGTCGTAATAATAATGTTGAAATATGCGAGGGCAGTTCGTTTTCACCTACAGTCGTGATGACAGTAAGGAAATATAACAATAATCTGACTGCGGGAGTAGTATTTTTTTGCCTACAGTCGTGATAACAATAACGGAATATAACAATAATCCGAATTAGAGAGTAGTTCGTTTATTTATAGTCATGATCACAATACTAGAATATAACAATAATCTGACTGCGAGAGTAGTATTTTTTTGCCTACAGTCGTGATAACAATAATGGAATATAACAATAATCCGAATTAGAGAGTAGTGCGTTTTATTTATAGTCATGATCACAATACTAGAATATAACAATAATCTGACTGCGAGAGTAGTATTTTTTTGCCTACAGTCGTGATAACAATAACGGAATATAATAATAATCTGACTGCGAGAGTAGTATGTTTTTGTCTATAGTCGTGATAACAATAACGAAATATAACAATAATCCGAATTAGAGAGTAGTACGTTTATTTATAGTCATGATCACAATACTAGAATATAACAATAATCTGACTGCGAGAGTGGTATGTTTCTGCCTATTGTCGTGATAACAATAACAAAACGTAATAATAGCCTGAATAATTAGAGAGTAATACGTTTTTATCTATAGTCATGATGACAATAATGGAATATAAAAATAATCTGAATGCGAGAGTAGTGCGGCTTTACCTATAGTTGTGATGACAATAATGGAGTATAACAGTGCACCAGAAAAATTCCACTGCAAAGGAGGCTCGTCCTTTCCGTCATAACCTTCTTTCCTAACGGCTTTTATCAAGGTCCACTCAAATTCCCTGAGCGCAGATGCTGCTTGTTTTGTCCAGTTGGCCTCGTGCAACACACTCGTTTCTGCCGTGATATCCCACAGGGCTTCTACCATTGCTGACCGTTTGTTCCTGATTTCTTCACGTTTTGTTTGTTCGTTCTGAGCTTCAAGGGCTTCGAAAGTGAATGCTCCCATGATGGTATAACCCACCACTAAGCCACAGAGACCGATGTGTGAAAAAACAAACGTTGAACCAGTCCTACAGTAATAACGACACTTAGCACATCGAGATGGTTCTTCCTGCATCTCAGAGCCATTAGCAGGCCCACTAGAGCTCGGAATGGGCTGTCGCACGTTCCTCAATCTTCAAGTCAAAAGATGGTGTTTCTGTCGTCCTCAACACCGTTCTCGGCCTTTATTAATTCGCATTACTAGCTTTAAAAACTTCAGGTCTTCCTCTGGTCAGTTGTTGATTATGATATTCAACCTAGCTACTGGACATACACGGCATTGTTAACAATAGAAAATTTAACTGATTTAGGAACTTCAGATATGCAAGGTAAATATATATATATATATATATGCATAAAATCTATATAATAACAATATCGTAAATATTTTGTTCATTTCCAAGTGTCTTGATTCATGGAGAAAGAAGTGTATCCTTTGGCACGTATAATCGTCACTCAGGGAAGACAGAGAATCGCCGGCTGTTATGCTATAAACTCCAACTGGGTCTCTTGTTTTCCCACAAGGTGCCTCTAAATAGACCGGATCTCTGTCGACGAAGACAAGCTGTCATCTCCCTTCCCTTCTGGGGGTATAAATAAAGAGACCTAGCCGCCTCGTTACTGGCATTTGTGCAGCGTGCAGACGTCACGTGTGCGTGTACCATGTTGCCCGAAAATCAGGGTTTTAAACGGCGTTTATATTTACGTTTTTCTTTAAGTTACAAACGAAAGAATATATCTGAATTTTATTGTCTAATCCTAAACAGAGACATTAATTTTTTCTTCAGAAGCCTTTTTTCATAGCCCCTTTACGTTATCTTCGTTTGTTAGTTACCTTATGCATTATATCCACATGTTTAATTTCGAAGTTTTAATTTACACTAGTAACTAATATTGTACCGAATTACCCTGAAGTTTATAAAAAAAATTGAAAATCAAGAAACTTTTAATATTGTATTAAATTTTATTCCACACACTTATTAACCTTTTATTTCCTTGTAAGTACAGTTAATTTAAATCATATCTCGATGAAATAATAACATATCATATAGATATATTTACACGTAATCGACACTTGTACTCATTAGCACCAACCTTTCCAAATGTTTAGGGGTGGTGGGTATATTTTTTGCACAGCTTCAGGATTCTAAGTAGCACTCGCATAAATAAATTTTGGTGGTGCCCAAGCACCAACGGAGCTGGCGCCTATGCTAGTACTAAAGTACTATATAGAATACATATATAATTATAGTTTAACCTTTGTTTGCTAGATTAAGCCGCGAAATAGTAATTACCTATTTGTACAAACAGTCTCAACGTTGCTTCTTGCACAGTTCGTTCTGAGAAGTAATAAATAAATGTCGAGATATTAACGATGCAGTGCCAGAACTGAACTGAAAAGTGTTTAACAGAAGGTATTTATAAAAAAAACTGTCGTCTATTGTAAAGAGTAGTGGGTGCATAGGACAATCAATAATAGAGAATTGGTGAGTGAAATTTTTAATAAATAGAAAAACAGTGCAAATAGAAGCAACTATGTTAATTATTACGTGTATGAAAACAAAACTCATACACACACTTGAACAACTGACTGCATACATAGGAAAAGACATCTATGGTACTGGGTTAATAGACTAAACAACCGAATTACATGAATACATCTGCCAAACTGTATCTTGTTTGTACAGGGACAACTACCTAGCATAATAACTGAATCAAATAACCAATTAGATTCGGAGTTGCATGCCGTAAGATACTGGTTGAATAGTGATATGAGGGTGACTACCAAATATATTAATGGAATAGGATGATAAGATGGCTGCTCAAGATAGTGTTTGAATTGAATGATGCACCAACAAACTACTAGTTGAATGGAATAACTAGTTAGAGAAAACCATATAAGATATTGGTTGAGTGTCGTAGGTGTTTGGATCATGGGTTATATGTAAGGCAACCTCTTTACTGTATATTGTCGCTTGGATTATTTGCTGCAAGAAAAACCACCGTTTGGATTAGTTATTGAATGACAATCACATGAATGATTATTCTAGTCGAGACAATTACCTAAAATATATTTTACTAGGCTTATAATGAATATTCTTTCGTGATGTGGGATTATCATTTTCATCCGCCACAAGATGTAAATCGTCTAGTCATTCTTGTTTTCTTGAATAACGTCAATAAGAGGAAGAAATCTCAAGTTTTTAACAGATTCAAATATACGTTATAATGAATGCTGAACGTAGAAACTAGGCGAGCATGTTTATTCAAAAGGCTGATTACGCCATCCTTTTTAACAAGCGAAGATAGGGAGAGCAAGTTCCCGCTTTTGTAAACACCACACAGAAGATGAGGAAATGATATTTAAAAACATAATAGAGCATCAAAGGTAATCCTAATACTAATTTATACGTTTTGTAATTAGAGAACTAGAATGTGAATCTAGAAAAATACACACGAGGTCAAACATTATCTGATTATTTTGGAACGACTACTGACTCAAACTGAGAAAGCAATTTTTATGCACTTTTTATCATGGAACAAAACAAGTATAAGCTTCAAAAACAGTCCAGGTAGCGAGCGTGCAGCATTACATGTCGTGACCATGAATTTTAAGTAGAAAATACGTACATGTTGTTTATACTGCACGCATTCTTTATTTGAAGACATAGAAAGATTTATTTTCTCCCTAGCTTGTTATAATTGTATTATAAACGCAAGATACTTCCGTATTTAACAATGTAGCACATTCGTGCAATACAATTATTGTCGCTCGCTCTAATCCAAATCTCAATTAGTTATACGTTGTTTTTTCACATACCTTCAAACACCTTACGAAGAACTAACTATTCATCAGTTCGAGAGCTATGTGGTAATTTAAACCATTTTTATTCCCATGAATTCGACTGGATATTATATATACACAAATATATATATATATATATGTGTGTGTGTTTGTGTGTGTGTATTTTAAGTACAGAAGCGCTTTATAAACAGCTGTTGAAGATATTAACCGAGCCTTAGGGAATTCATTTCAAAAAACTGTTCGTGAAGCGAAAAGGGATGAAAATTTAGGCGTCGTGCAGTATGGAAGCAGGCTATATACAATACAACAACTTGAGCTATATTTACACCTAAGCTACGAAACTACCAATCCCAGGTCTAGTCGCAAAAGCCACATAGTAGAAGAACGAAAAAAGATCTTGGGGCTGTGTAATAGCTGTTTAAATATAATCTGTGTTGTTTTGTTTTATTATGTCTTACATTCACCATATAATGTGGGTTGATGACTAAGAAAACTACGGACAACGTAAAGGGCCTAGAAATTTCTGAAGTTAGTTATAGTTTCAAGTATCTCAGTTCTTCAGTATATCTGTAGTAAAGACCGATCCACAATAAAGTGTCTAACGGGCTGTTCTCATTGTCAAAAACACATGTAAAACAGATAAATAAAACTCGCCTAAGCAACAAGTGGGAGTAATAACGTGTCCTGTGGAGGTGGAATACCAAATTCACTTTTCTTCACGAGCCCCCATATGTGGGAGGATTTTCAAATCAGAAGTAGGTAGTGGGTAATTCTATTCTTCTTCTGTTTCTTAACGAGCAGCTACGTTTCCAAACCTACTGTATAGCTGCAGACTGTGAGTGGCGTGTGTGATAGGACTAACATCTATACCCTACACTAGACTAGAGGACCAATATCTGCTGCACATATTACAGGTTTAAAAATCTTCCCAGGTTCTTTTTCTGTAGCTTATTTTCCCATTTGATGTTAATATAAAAATAACCCTTTAGCTTCTTATTTATAAAGTACAAGTGGTGTACTAAAAGCTAGTTTAAAATTATCAAATTTCGCTCATGCATTTTATAATTACACATATAAGCTATCCTAAAGTTGAAATGGGTTGAACTATTTAACATGGTAGCCAAGTATATGTTGCCAATTACTCTTTGGTAACAGACTGCTATATGTCGCCATTGTTCAGTAATTACTATACAATACATCTACATTACTAGTATGATATCAAAATTGTGGCAAACAGTAAAGTGTCTTAAAGTTAACTTTAACCGAATATAGCGCGGAAATTTACAACTTGTAGAAAATACTTTCTTTCAAATGTGCTACTGTACATTAACAGTTTAAGGTTCCAATATTTTTACCCATACGTATTTAACTGAGAAATACGCTTGTGTTTCTCATACCTCCAAATTCTTGAGCAAACTATCCTATAATTTCACGTGAAGCCAACAGCCATCATTCGCAAATGTTTGTTGGTTAGGTCTCATAATGTCAGTTAATGGACTGCTAGAGCTTTTCCACATTCAAAAACTTTTGCATTTATATCTTTCTGTCGAAATATGTAACTTATTCAACAAGTATTATGTTTGTACAAAGATAAAACGTTAAGACTGTAGATAAATTTAACCTTCTCGTGATTTGATCCAGACTATAGAACAGATCTACGTTCAAATTTCACTTGCGATTGCTCTATTCAGAGGTCACTGAAGATCTAGTGAAGGAAGTATTAAAAATAAAATACATTGGAAGAGTTTAAGTCTATTTATACTAAAACCCATTAACTACTCGTATTTGTTTGAAGTGTAAGTGTTATGTTTCCAGTCGTGAAAACAAAGCGAATAGGTATAACTTACTTATAAAATAAACATTGAAGAAAGCGTTTTATTGGTCCTAGGACCAACAAAGTATGCTTTGTAACTTATTAAATATAAAAATACTTATTAATGGTTTCATTTAATGAAAAAGTGTTTCAAGTCGTACATAGCTCTCATTTTTTATGATATTTTGTTTCGAAATATTTAGAAACGTTATTATACAACCTTCAAGACTGATTCAAGAACCTCTAGGGGTACGTGATAATGTTTGAATGATAAACAAAATCAACTGTTGGCTCAGGTTGGTTTCTGTGCTGAAATACGTCCCTTCCACTTCAAAATACTTCAAATGTTGAGCAACGTTCCAGCCGTTGAATTCAAAATTCAGTAGTACTTCACATTGAGTTATCCAAGAAGTTTAAATATTCAACTCCAGACAAGTTCGTTATATTGCAATCACATAGATTTTCACCTCCAAACACGGCACAAGCAATGAAATATGAATAATCACAACCAAAAACAAAATGTGAACTTTATTAATGTTTGTGGATCGAACGTTAATACTGTTTATATATATATATATTATCGC